TCTTTCCTGCCTATGCAGGGGGTCGGACTCGATGATCTATTGAGGTCCCTTCTGACCCTAGAATCTATGAAGCTATGGACTCCAAGATGAACATGAGTTGTCAGTGTGATGAAATCATCAGCAAAGCTAATCGCACTTTATCATGCATCAGCAGATGCACGACAAATAGATCCAAGGAGGTGATACTTCCCCTGTATGCGGCATTGGTCAGACCACAGTTGGAGTACTGCATCCAGTTTTGGTCACCATACTTCAAGAAAGATGTTGATAGACTTGAGATTTGTTATTGTCAAATTCCCTTCCTCTGTTTTCAGCCTTGTGCAGTTTTAGGTTAAAGTGGGTGTGATCCTTAAAAACCTGGGGTAGTTGCTGATTTCATTCAAGAAATTTGCCAAAAGTTCCCAGTGTTTGGACTTCTCTTTCTTAACAAGCAGACTTCAGAGAGGAAAGAGATGTTTTAAAGGATCTCCCTCTTCATCTGGGCCTCAAGAGTCATAGCACAGAAACCAGCCTGATTCTGGTATAAATTTGCTTAATAAGTTCATGTTCTATGACTTCCCAGCAACTGAACTGCAAGCATCAGATAAAAAGATGTGAGGTTGCCAGTGTTCTACTTCAGTTTTATGGTAAGAAAGTTACCTGTTAGACTGACTTACAACTTTGGTAACCTAGTGAGCAATCAGGCACTGACATGTTTATTTTGGCTATCTGTTTCTCTGTCTTCCTTTTGGGTAAAAATGTGTTTAAAAAAAAAAAAGAATTAACAAGAGAACCTTAAAACGACTACCTAAAATGGATTTTTTGGACCCTGCCATGTGTTCAAATTCAAGCTGGATAGAAGCCAGCTATAAAAGTTGCTACACATTTTCAAGCACTAACTTGTTAGCCAGTTGGCTCTTTTTTCAGCTGGGTAGACATTTTTAGGGTGTGATAAGTACTTCACACATGTGGAAGTTTACTGCGTGATTAACCATTTAATTGCATACTACATATAACGTGGCTGGAACCTTTTCCTCAAGAAGTGCATTTGAGCCAAGGCTTTTGCCTCTAAAATCTCTATATAAAGGAAACAAAAAGGAGAGAAAAAAAATGGAAGGAAAACTAATAATTTTCTCTTAACTTTTAAAACTGCAATTGTTTTAAGCTTTTCTTTTTTTACTTTTATGTTTATTTAATAAATGTTGAAAGTATTCTTGGAGGCAGGAGTTGGTGATGGATAACAACTGAAACCAAGGCCTTGGTATCCATGAACACTAATTATTCTGAATGAATAGGAGAACTAAAGTTCTGACTCCTAAAAACCATGTTTGTCCTTTAGAATATAACAGAGAATCCAGGCAAGGAGAGTCTGGTCATCTTGTGGTCCATGGAGACCTGCGTGGAGGAACAAGCCATCTGGCTTGACTTGAAAATGCCAGGAAGAGATAAATAATCTCTGGCATTCCCCTCAAAAGAGCTATATTTATACAGCATAATGAAGCAGAAAAAGAACCAAAGAATAATTTAATTTCCAGTTTCATGTTGTCTCTAATGTGACTGATTAAGAAAAATAATGCACCATCACTTCAACCCCAAACATCTCTTAATGCTGTTACACCATTCCTTAGTGGGTTGATGTTTTCATGAGCAAACAATATATCCTTCTAATTGGCCACTATTCCCAGCACCAACAGATACTCTATAACCATCTCTCACTGTTCAGTAACCTTCCCTATTCCAACAGAACAGGAGTTTATCAAGGTAGATCCCTCTGAAGGCTCT